AAGCCCAGCCTAGGCAACTTAATGAGATTTGTCTCAAAATAAAAAGTAAAAAAGGCTGAGGTTGTAGCTCAGTGGTAGAGCTCTCACGTAGCATGCTCAAGGGCCTGAGTAAAATCCCCAGTACTAGAGGGCCAGGGATATAGCTCAGTGGTTCTGCTGCCTGCCTCGCAAGCCAAGGACCCGAGTTCGATCCCCAGTACCAAAAAAAAAAAAAAAAAAGAATAAGCGAAAATCCCCAGTACTAGAAAAAAAAACTGCTGAACTGTTATCCAGAGTGGCTGAACCATTTTTTGTTCCCGCCAGCAGTGTATGAGACCCATTCTTTTCCCATGTTCTTTCCATTCTTGTGTCTCACAGGTCTTACTTTGCATTTCCCTAATGGTTAGTGACTCTCTTTTCATAGCTTTATTTACCAACTGTAATTTTACATTTAGATGTACAGTTCACCTGGGGAAGGGGTCCGGATTAGTTTCTTTATATGTGTATATCCCCTGGGCCCAGTACCATTTACTGAAACAACTTTTTCTTCTGATGTACGGCATCAGAAATCAAGCACCCAAACATGTATGGGTTCACTTCTAGACCTGCCTTTTCTCTTGATTTATTTCTCCATGTAAGCAAACGCCTCAGTCTCACTTACACAAACTTTATTTATTATTTATTTATTTTTCTGGTACTGGGGATTGAACTCAGGACCTTATACTTTCCAGGTAGGTGCAGCACCACTGAGCTACATCCCTTGCCCACCCAAACTTTATAATAAGTCTTGTATCTAATAGTGTAAGTACTTTAAATGTGTTCTTTCTCTGGATTGTGCCAATTGTTGGCCTTTGCATTTTTACTTAGAATGGAAAGTCAGACTGTAAGTTTCAAATACTCTGTTAAGATTTAGATTATGACTTCACTGACTTGCATGAATTTGAGGAAAAGTGACATCCTTACCTACGTAGTCATCCCACTATAAGCATGGTGTCTCCCATTTATTTAGGTATTCTATCTTATTTTGCAATATTGTTTTATGGTTCTCTGTGCATATCTTGTTTTGTTTTGTTTTGTTTTGTTTTTGGTAATGGGGACTGAACTCAGGACCTTGTGCTTGCCAGACAGGCGCAGTGCCACTGAGCTAAATTCCCGGCCCAGATCTCTTTGTAGGCATCGACACTTTTGGATGTTGTTACACTTCATGCATGGGAGGGCAGTGTCGTCTTCTGATGCTCTGTCTTCTTGGGATGCATGTTTCTACTTAGGAGATCAGAAGAGACTGAGGGAGGCAAGCAGTGAGATTTCCGCAGCATGGAGCATCAGTGGCTGTGGTCAGGTTTGGATCACTGTGACTGGCTCTGTCAGCAAGGCCTGATGTGAGAGGGATAAAGAGCTCTGGCCTGAAGCTGGGGCTGAATAGGGATGGGAGCAAGGACAGGTTAGCATGGAGGAGCTCTGGATGTTGGGGTGAGGGTCACAGGAGTGAGGAGATAAGAGAACAGGGAGTAGAATTGAGATAATAGGGTAAAGGGTATAGTTGGGATAGAGGATCAGACCATTAGCAAGGAGAAGAGGTTAAGGCTTTGAGAGGCCAGGGAGATGAAAATTGTAGAGACCAGGAATTCAGCTACAGAAATGGGAGGAGGGCTGATCAAGGGCTGATGCTGGCTGGTTGCTATAGCAGATGACTTGTGCCTCAACCAGGTCTGCAGGCCAGTGATGAATAAGAGGGGTGAGTGCTCCACTTTTAGGTAGGGGGAGAGAAACAGCTCCCATAGAAAACTGCTGAATGAAACAAATGGATTCCCTCAGGAGAGGAGATGGGGCCCTGGCTGGTGACAGCAGGAGCCCCTGGGAAGGGTTTCCTGACTGGGAGACATTTGAGCCTGCATCAGAAATTTCCTTTCCCTCTTAGCTTAAGTTCTCAGGAGGATTTTCTCTTTGCAGGGTGACTTCTCCCTCCCTGGGACTGCTGCTCTATAGAGAGTCTCAAATCTGACAGCAGGTGTGTTGCAGTCTCCTACACAGTAGCGTCAGGACTTAGTAGGCAATGGGACCTCTTTCCACCTGTGATTTGCAAGTGTTTAGGGAGGGGGGTACAGTCTGAGGCTCTGTGGGATTTGTGTCCTCTGAACTGTCCATGGTTTGCTGCTCTGTTTACTGCTCTTATTCACTATAAATGTTTTTGCCCAGTTGGTCATCTGCCTTCTGACCTTGTAGGTTTTGCTTTGTTTTATAATGTAGATATTTGAAAATTCAGTGCAATTGGCTTGATTGATTGATTGATTGATTGATATTTGGTGGTAATAGGGATTGAACCTAGGGCCTTCACTCTGAGCTACATCTCCAGATCTTTTTTTATTTTTTTATTTTAAGACACAGTCTCACTAAGTCACAAAGTTGCCCAGGTTTGGCTTAACCTGGAGTATCAACTTGTGATTTTCCTGCTTCAGCCTCCTAAAGTGCTGAGATTACAGGCATTTGCAGTGTCTGACTTATACATTTTTATTTCTACTTTTTTTTCTTTTTTACACAGAGTAATATAGTGCTTTTTTTTTTTTTTTTTTGGTACCGGGGATCGAACTTGGGACCTTGTGCTTGTGAGGCAGGCGCCAGAACCACTGAGCTAAATCCCCAGCCCTATAGTGCATTTTTTAAAAACAAGTTGTCACTAGATTGCCAAGGCTGGCTTTGAACTTGTGATCTTCCTTCTTCAGCTTCCTGAGTAACCAGGACTACACGTTTGCTCCACCTTACCTAGCTCTGTGCATAATCTTATACTTTTTTCCTTTGCAGAATAAAACTATTATTGTATTTTCTGATTTCTTTTTTTTTGAGACAGATTCATACTGTGCAGTTCAGACTGGTCTTCTTTTTTTAATTTTTATTTTTTTAGTGCTGGGGATCAAACTCGGGACCTTGTGCTTGCCAGGCAGGCATTGGCACCACTGAGATAAATCCCCAGCCCTGGGCTGGTCTTGAATTCATGGCAATCCTCATGCCTCAGCCTCCCCAGTGCTGGGATTACAGGTATACAGCACCACGCCCTGTGGGGATAATAAAACCATTTTTTGGAGCTCTTTCCATCATGATTCATAGGAAGCTTCCTCACAAACCCTTCAGGGGCATATTTAATTAGACCCCTTGTTCAACATTTAGGTCCTCCCCATGTTTTCTGTCGTGTGCTACTGCAGCAGGTGGCAAGGTGGCACTTCAGGTACTTGGTGGCTGTGCAGATAGAGCTTTAATATGGCGAAGTGACCACTGGGTGTGGCTTGGGAGGCTGAGGCAGGAGGACTGTCATGAGTTCAAGACCAGCTGGAGCTACACAGCGAGACTCTATCTCAAAGAACCAAAAAAAAAAAAAAAAAAAGGCTGAGTGTCCCATGGTGAGTCCTGGAGGTGGCCACAGTGGCCAGTGAGCTTTCTATCTGGGGCTGGCCGTTGTCCCCAGGATACAAGCTGAAGGGGCTGGAGCTGCCCCCTGCTGGGCTCTCCTCTCCAGTAGCTGCTGGGCTCTCCTGAACTCTTAGCCAGCAACTCACTGCGGATTCCTTCATGTACACTCTACTCATACAAACAAGTCGGTATCCATGATACCTTTCGTGATACCTTTTACCAGAGTCCTGTTGGCCTTTGCACCTGATGTTAGCACCCTGTGGCCTCTCTCTGGGGGCACTGAGCTCCACCTGATCCTGTTGACAGATGCTCATTAGCTGGTACTCTATAGAATGCCTGTGTCTAATTTCACTTGGCCAGGATGGTAAGCATTTAGGTAGTATCCTATCTTTTGCCATGTAGGCATTCCTTGTTTAACAACTGACTTCAGTTCCTGGGACTAGGTTGTTAAATGAATTGGTTGCTAAATGAGGAATTGCATATGGTATGTACATTACAATGGTCAGAACAAAGAAACAGTCAAAGGAAACTCAAACTTGATGACTTTGCTTTTATTTGGATAACTCTTAACATGCAATACTGTAATGTATAACAAAAGATAAAACTATAGTACTGTACTATACAATTAGCAAAAATTATGGTACTGTATAAACAAGGTATACTGTACAAAAGACATTGAGGCTTTATAAACAAGATGTACAGAACTGTACAGAAAAATAGGTCATAAGTCTGAACAGTCATCAAACAGGTTAAAGGAGGAATGTTTGTAATAGATATTGCTACAAACAAAATAAGTCTTCTAGTTGTGAGTTATAGGAACTCATTCTAAGAAGCTTAAGTACTACAAGAATATGAAGTCCCACAGAAGCAGTCAGAGGGAAGGCAGGCTGGGTCAGGGACTTCTGTGTCATTTCTCCAATTTCTGCCCACTGCCCACTGCCCTGCTACCCACAGGCTTTCTTCTCTGGTGTGCAGCCTGAGACCAGAGTGCTTTCTTCTGACTGCCTCTAGGGCCCTCCCTACCCTTCCGCCTAACCTGCTGTGTGGGGAGGAGCAAGAGAAACAGGGCTGTCAAAGGGATCTTGTGATACATGGACAAATACTGAGCTCCACAGACATGCACTGTGTGCTTATCTGTGATAATGGGACCCTTAGCGGGGCCCTATCTGCTGCCCCACCTTACCATTTCTATGGGCCTCTTCCCTCCCTGCCCTCACTTGTCTGTCCTTCCTTCCTCTGAACAGGGCGTGCCTCTGCCTATACCTTGACCTTGAGTTGGGTGAATAAAGTGATGCTTATGCCCACCTTCTGGGCTCTTATGTACCGCGGACACCATGAAATGAGTGTGCAAGGCACTGTGGTGAAGTGGTTAGGGCAGGCCTGGATTTAGGCAAGGGCTTGGTTTCCTAGTGTGGAAAATGGAGATGATGGGAGGGGCCTGCTGGAGGAGGGCTGTGGCAGTGGGGTGGGTGGGTTGTGCTGAGAGCCAAGGGCTGGGCCTGTCAGGTAGTCTGCCTGTGTCTTCCCTGAAGCTGCTGGAGCCTGGGTTCCTGCATTCATCATGGGTGTCCTGGGCTGGGGATTTAGCTCAGTGGTTCAGGTGCTTGCCTTGCAAGTGCAAGGTCCCGAGTTCGATCCCCGGTACCAAAAAAAACCATCATGAGTGCCCCAATGTGTGCTCTGTAGTCTGGGGACAGCCCAAGTGGTGTTCAGGCTGAAGGCTTGGTGGGGGCAGTGGCCAGCAGCCTTCCAGGAGGCTCCTCCCAATTCAGTCCCATATTCCTGTGCAGTTTACCGAGACTCAGAGCCAAGAGCTGGAACAAATCAACCAGATTATCTCTGTTTGACATTCCAAAGAGGCTTGGGGGAGGATTTATGGATGGGGGCAAGAGCTGCCCTACTCAGCCTTCTCCTGGCCTGGGTGTGATGTGATCTCCCTTTGGTAGAACTCTGTCAAGCTGACCACTGAGTGTACTGGTGGGCTGGTCTGTCTTGTGGCTGGGACAAAGGACCGTCTGTACCTTGGAGAAGTTTGGCTGGGGCAGCCAAGATCCAGGTAGGCAGGAGGTGGCCTTTCCTTGTGAAACCTCAGACTTGCTCCTACTGGCCTTTGACTGGCCCATCCCTTCTAAGGCTGGCTTCTGCAGAGAGGCCAGGCAATATTGGAAGGAAATAAGGGGCTGGACTCTTAGGACTCAGCCTGGAGAGGGTAGGGTACTGGACATCCTGGAAAGAGAACTGCCTGAGATAGGGAGCCGGAGTCCATGCAGGGTGGGGGGGACTGAATAGTGGGCCTGCAACTCCAAGACTCTCTGGAGGAAGCTGCCAGTGTAGAGCCCACCTGAGGTCCCATAGAGATGGTCCTCAGGAAGGTGGGCCTGAACTCCAGGGGAGGATAGACTCCATGTGGCTTGGGAGCCCCTGCTGGAGTTGACTCTTCTCATTGCAACCAGGAGGGCCATGCTGCAACTCCTTTTTTTGCAAGATTTTTTTTTTTTTTTGGTACCGGGGACCGAACTTGGGACCTTGCGCTTTTGAGGCAGGCAGCAGCACCACTGAGCTAAATCCCTGGCCCGCTGCAACTCTTTTGATGTTCCTGCTGTGGAGCTCAAAAGCCAACATGTCTTCCATTTGAAAAGTATCAGCCATCCTAAGGTTGTTTCTCATCTGTAGGACAAGGGATCAGACTGTCTTTCCTTCTATCAAATGATGGGGTTAAGGGTGATGTCTCTTAAATCTTTTTCCTTCCTCTGGCCAGAGATGAGGCACGCAGGGGCAGTGTACCTTGCTCTTTGCTATGATCTCTTGGAGAGGGCTGTGGGCTGATTCGCTGGCAGAGTACTAAAGACAGAGCTGTGGGTCCCACCTCACCAGGCCTGTAGGGAAGAGAGTGTCTACTGCAGGTGACAGCAGAGAAGGAGGGCTCTGCCACATGGCAGGGTCTGTCCTTGCCCAAGAGGAGTTGTCAGGGTGCCTACATGATACAGCTTGCATGTCTTGGGTGGGAATACTGGGGTCCAGAGGCGTCAGAAGAATTTGGGAGCCCTGGGAGAGTGTCAGGACATCTCATGCCTGCAGTGATCTACAGAGGTGGCCAAACTCAGGAGCAGGCTGAGAAACTCAGAGTGCTGCTGAGAAAGCTCTTGACCTGGCAGAGTGCACACCAGGCTAGGGCCGAGGGCTCTGGTGGTGTCATCCCAGACCAGACTTGCAGGGGCTTCTGTCAAGCCAGTTAGACCTGTGAAGTGTGGCTCCAAGTCTCAGAAGGGACCTGCTGGCCTCATATGACCTGGCTTAGCAGAAAGGAGTGTTTACTGAGACCACTGTCCACCAGTCTGGCTACAGGAAAGGTAAAGGCCTCTAGACTATAGCAAGGCCTTGCCCTGTGAAGGATGGGACTCCAGGCAAGTGTCCTTTGGGCAGTGTTGCTGGGCCTGTGAGGAGCCCAGTGATAACATCTGGGGCTGTGAAGAGCCTATTGACAGCATCAGGGTGTGCGGCAGGACTGGGGCCAGGGTGGGCATGTCAGCTGGGCTGTGCCAGCCTGTGCCTGTGGGTCCTGGTGGGTCACCTGGGTCTGTTTCCCTGTGACCCTGGCTGCTAGTGTGACTCAGGATGGCTGATGTGGGCTGGTTGGTGAGAGGCCAGGGTGCAGGTCAAGACAGGCCAAGGCCTAGGAGGCAGGGCCTGCCAAGCCCTTGAGCCATCCTAGCTGAGCTCAGGGAGACCTTCCCCTCCCAGCCTGGGGGCAGTGCTTGGCCCTGGGGCAGCCCCATGGGGACAGCCTGGCTGGGAGTCATCCTTCTGGCCCTGAGAGCCCAGCTGTGCAGCCTTTCCTGGAAAGGTTGGTGGGAAACCCAAGATGCTTCTGATCCTGCCCTTTCCTGGGGGTGTGGACCAGAGCAGCCCACCCAGAACTGTTGCTCTGCAGTGTGCTCTGTGTAGAGGGAGGGCCCCATAGGACCCTAAGATGACAGGGACACTGGTCACACCTGAACCTGCTGCCCCGCCCTATGAGCTGGCCTCAGTGTGCTTCCTTATTTGCTCCTTAGGTGTGTGCAGCTGCCGGAAGGGGAGGCTCCCCAGTGCCCTCTATGCCCTGGCTGCCTAGAGATCCTCACTCCTGGACACTAGGAACCAAGACCCTAGGACTGAGCACATGCTCTGTGCTGGCCTCTGAGGCTGCACCTCCTTAGTGCTGATGCACTGAAGGGAAGGACAGGGGGAAGGGAAGGGGTAGGCAGGGGTGGCCATGGCTGCTCCAGGCCCCACCTGGACTCCTGAGGCCGGGAGGGAGAGCTCCCAGGGGCTCTCAGGGGCCTGCTGCTGCTGAACCTCGCCCTTCCTGCCTCTTGGCAAGGTGCCAGGAAACTGGAACTTTGTTATCTAGGTAATTGGCTTCAGACCCTGGACTGAGGCTGGTCAGGTCTTAGGGCTACTTCCCACAGGTTGTGCACCCTGACCCCACAGGGAGGTGAGGCACTGTCCATGCAGAGGCCCTGCCGGCCAAGCAGCTGAGGAGCCAGGCCTGTTTGGGAGTCCTGTGGGTGCCCTCTGTGCTGCCCTTGCTGCTTGGGCTTTGCCCCTCAGGGCTGCCTGGGCCTCTTGACCCAGTCTTGCCAGGGGCAGAGGGCACCAGGCCTTAGGAAGGGGATGCCCTCGAGGGTGCCTGTTCAGCCAGCTGCCCCGCCCCTCAGGCCCAGCCTGGCCCCCAAGCTCCCCACAGTGGTGCCCCGAGCATACCTGTGGGCAAACATCTACCATCATGGCCGAGCACCTGGAGCTGCTGGCAGAGATGCCTATGGTGGGCAGGATGAGCACCCAGGATCGGCTGAAGCACGCCCAGAAACGACGTGCCCAGCAGGTGAAGCAGTGGGCCCAGGCTGAGAAGGAGGCCCAGGGCAAGAAAGTCCATGGGGAGCGGCCACAGAAGGAGGGAGCTGGCCAAGGGCCACGGAAAAAGGTCCTTTTCCCTCCCAGCATTGCCCTTCTGGAAGCTGCTGCCCGAAATGACCTGGAGGAAGGTGAGTGTGCTTAAACCCAAGGAGCGCACAGTGGGTACTCTTGTCTACTGGGTGTGGCCCTGTCTTTTGTTGGGGTTTAGGGTTGGGCCTAGGCTTATCCACAGCTCCTGAGCTCTAGCCCATGGGTCTGACCTGGCCTCTGGCCCCAGGGCAGCACTGGGTCCCACCCTTAGGAGAGTTTGTGCCGGGACAGCTATCTTTCAGCAGGGCCACACGTGGAAGTTCCTGCTGAGAGGTGGGGGCCTGCAGAAGTACCCAGTGCTGGCTGATACTCTCACTGCATTTGTCCAGTGAGTGGGGCTGCCCAAGTCCTGGTCCCTGCTTGCTTGGGTGCTGAGTCCCCACCTTTATGTGGCTGGCATCTAGGGTGCACATGGGCTGGCTTCTCTCGACACAGTCCTAGGCCTTGGCTTTGGTTCCTTCCTCTCCATCAGAACTTTTTAGCCTGAGAAAGCCCTGGCCTTTCTGCTGCCCATTTCTCTCCCAGTCCCGGTGCTTGCAGCCCCACTGTGTGCAGGGCTCTGGGGTCTAAGGAAAGAGGCATCTTGATGTCTCTTGAGGGCCTTTCCTGTGTCCCCTGGGGCAGTGGGCAAGGAACAGTGCTGTTGCTTGGACAGGAGCCTCCTGAGGGGCCTAGAGGTAGGGGGAGTGTAGAGGGGTGCTGAGGGCACTGTGGAAGAGGGCCTGTCCTCCTGCATAGCCGGGGAGGACCCCAGTGACAATGGCAAGAGCCTGGGCCTAAGTGGGGACCTCTGAAGGGAGTGAAGGAGGGGAAGTGGGCACTGCTTGTGAGGCTGTAGCTGGTAACCTGGGAGGAGTGGAGGGTGTGGATGATTCTTGTGCTAGGGGTGTGCAGACTATTCAGGGAGCTGTTGCCTCCTGTGGTCATACTCTAGACCAGTGATGACAAACCTTTCAGAACTTTCAGTGATACAGAAAGCCCATTGTGGCACATGTGCCATAGGTTCACCACGACTGCTCTAGTTGTAGGAGCTTTGAGGGGAGGGCATGTTCTGGGGCCTGAGCAGCTGGGGCCGTGGTGTGGGAGGGTAGGGGCTACTCTGCCTATGGCCTACCTGAGTCAGACAGATGCCCTGTGCCCCTGATCCTGTATACCCTCTGCCTTCTGCATCATCCTTCCATACCCTTCCCTAGCTCTTGGCAGTAGCATAGGATAGTCATAGGCCTTGCCCCAACCTCACCTCCCACTTCTTGCAGTCTGCCAGTTCCTCAGGAATGGGGTCAGCCCTGACCTGGCCAATGAGGATGGCCTGACGGCACTGCACCAGGTCAGTCTGTGGATGGTGTTGGGGGTGGTTAGGGGCTGTCTGGGGCTCAGGACACTCAGGGTGCTTGTTTGCAGTGCTGCATAGATGACTTCCAAGAGATGGCGCAGCAGCTTCTGGAGGCTGGGGCTGATGTCAATGCCCAAGACAGTGAATGCTGGACACCTCTGCATGCTGCAGCCACCTGTGGCCACTTGCACCTGGTGGAGCTCCTCATCTCCCGGTATGACCCATTAGACCTCTGATGGGGAGTCTTACTCACCAATAGCAGCTCAAGTGGCTCCTTTACATAGCTCCCCCAGTCCCAGATTCCTGTGTCCCCACTTCCTCTGCTGACCCTGCCCGGGATTCTGGGGAATGAATGTGTGCTCAGCATGCTCTTGGACCTGACTGGCAGGCTGGACCTCCACCTCCAGGGTCTTCTGGGTCTGCAGTGTTGAGGGTAGAATTGGTAAGGAAAAGGGGAGCAAAGGTGGACTTGAATGGGTGATGTCAGGGCAAAGGCAAGGATGAAGGTGGAGCAGACGAGGCTGGTGGCTACCCCAGGTTCAGGGGCCTCTGCTTCCTTTCCCCAATTCCTTGCTTCTCAAGATTGTTCTCCATCACACAGCAGTGCCTCCTTGGAGTAGGGTGGGAGTGCCACTGGCAGAACACCGGGGCTCCTCTGTGAACAGGTTATGGGCTGCAAGTGGGCTGTAAGCCCCAAGTATCCCCTGGCCCTCCTCCATGGCACATGGGGATCCCCTCTGTGTTCTGTGCTCCCCAGCACCCTGGCCTGCTTCCCCTGTTATCTGGGGCTTCAGCAGAATCCTTGCACACTCAGTGCAAGTATACCCAGTGTATTTCTGGGGGTAGATGGGGCGACTATAGGATGGCCACTCTGGCTTGGGGACAGGATTGAGGGCTGAGGGGTGGCCACACGGACCAGAAGCTACCTGTCCCAGTCTACATTTCCTCAGGCAGCCCTAGGCTGAAGGCCTTTTCAAGAGGACCTCTTAAAAGGAAGCTGGGGAGGGCTGGGGATTTAGCTAAGTGGTTCTGCCACCTGCCTTGCAAGTTCAAGGTCCCGAGTTTGATCCCTGTTACCAAAAAAAAAACCCAAAAAAGAGAAAAGGGGTCCTGAGGCCAGGGCCTTGTCCATCTTCTTTGCAGTGGTGCGGACCTCCTGGCAGTTAACACCGATGGAAACATGCCCTATGACCTGTGTGAGGATGAACAAACACTGGACTGCCTGGAGACTGCCATGGCCAGCCAAGGTAAGTATGCCATGACTGTCCATGGGGTGGACCCTTGGTGTGCTCTCTCTTAGCCTGCTGCCCCACAGGCATCACCCAGGGCAGCATTGAAGAAGCCCGTGCAGTCCCAGAGCTGCGCATGGTGGATGACCTCCAGAGCCTGCTGCGTGCTGGGGCTGACCTCAATGACCCCCTGGACCATGGAGCCACACTGGTGAGGATTCTGGGCCATGTCAGCGGGTCTGCCATGGGACTGGGGGGCTTGCTGCCAAAGGGGAATGGGGTCAGGTTTCAGGGATGGGTGGCTTGCCCTGCAGCTGCACATTGCCGCCGCCAACGGGTTCAGTGAGGCGGCTGCCCTGCTGCTGGAGCATGGAGCCAGCCTGAGCGCCAAGGACCAAGATGGCTGGGAGCCGTTGCATGCTGCAGCCTACTGGGGCCAGGTGAGCTTGGGCAGGAGGAGGTGGGCAGGGGCTCCTGGCTTTAGTGTGAGCACTCTACACCAATGGCTGACTGGTCCACAGGTGCATTTGGCAGAGCTGCTTGTGGCCCACGGGGCCAATCTGAACGGGAAATCCCTGATGGATGAGACGCCCCTGGGTGAGCACACAAGGCAGCCTGCACTGGTGGGGGGGGGTAGTGGTGGTAAGGTTGCTCATGACACCTGTGCCCACCTCTTCTCAGATGTGTGTGGGGATGAGGAGGTGCGGGCCAAGCTGCTGGAGCTGAAGCACAAGCATGATGCACTCCTGCGAGGCCAGGGCCGACAGCGCTCCCTCCTGCGCCGCCGCACTTCCAGTGCAGGCAGCCGAGGGTGAGCCACTTATCTAGAACACTGCCTGACCCTTTGCCCCCAGAGCTGTCATCTGGAAGGAGCTAACTGCAGAGCTCTGGGCAGAGTCTCTTTGCCATCCTGTCCCTTCCCCTCCCCCAGGAAGGTGGTGAGACGGGTGAGCCTGACCCAGCGCACCAACCTGTACCGCAAGGAGCATGCTCAGGAAGCTATTGTGTGGCGACAACCACCACCCACCAGCCCAGAGCCACTGGAGGATGATGAAGACCGCCAGACAGATGCTGCGCTCCAGCTTCCACCCCCAGAGGTGAGACCCAGCCCATACACTGCCTCATCTTTTTTGTTTGCTTGTTTTTTGAGATAAGGTTTTGCTACATAGTTCAGGCTGGCCTTGAACTCACTGTGTAGTCCAGGCTGCCCTCGAATTCATGGTAATCCTCCTGCCTCAGCCTCCCCAGTGCTGGAATTATAGGTATGCGCTATTATGCCCAGCAGCCCCATCTTTTAAATGGCCTTGGCACGAGGGCCTGGAGTAGGGCTTGTCTTTAGTGTCCCCATCTCCATCAGTACCAGTCTCCTTGTAGAAGTGGTATGACCAGGACCCAGCCCTCCTGGATGTGCTGCAACCCCCAACCCTCATGTCTGTCCCTCCCCAACCTTACAGCCTGGAGCCCAGGCGAAAGGCTGGGGCAGGCAAAAGCGGGTATTTCCTGATGTCCTCTGGGGTCTTGGTTCTGTCCCCAGGAAGATGACCCCGATGTTGCCAGGTCACACAATGGCCAAGTAGAGGGCCCCCCAGGGCGGCACCTGTATTCCAAGCGGCTGGACCGGAGTGTCTCCTACCAACTGAGCCCACTGGACAGCATGGCCTCCAACAACCTGGTCCGAGACAAGGCCCACCAAACCCTGGCAGATCTCAAGCGCCAGCGAGCTGCTGCCAAGCTTCTACGCCTATCACCTGAGGGCTCTGAGGCCCCTGAGCCTAGCCTGCCTACTGACACTGAGACCTCCCATCCAGGCTGTGGATCCAGGGCAGGCAGAGACCCACCCATGCTCAAGCTCACAGCCCCTTCGGAAGAGGCCCATATGGAAAAGAGGCCCTGCTGCCTCCTCATGTGAGGGCCAGCGCTCAAGGTGGCAGGGTCCAATCCCCAGGCCCAGCCTGAGTGTATGCCCTGGTGCTGCAGGCAGGCAGCTAGTGTAGAATCTACAGCTTCCCCCTCCCAGGACACTGGCCTTCTCAGGGATGGACCTGTGGCAGAGCCATACCTGCAACATTGGCTGCAAAGACTTTATCCTGTGACTCTTGATAAAGGGCTGTTTGCCACGAAGTCTTCCCATGTGTCTCAGCTGGGGAGGGCCAGGCGGTGTGGGTGCCTTAGGTGCCACCCATGCCCCGGAGCACCCAAGCCTGTAGGTGTGCACTGGGGCTCGCTTGTGTGGGAGGGAGGCCCACAGCCTAGCCTTCACCCACACCCTCATTTGCCAGGTTCAGCCTCCTGGAGGCTCCTCTGTAACTGTTTCCTTCCCTGAGGACAACAGGGTGCCTGGCCTGGAAAGGGAAGTGGTGTTTTCCACAGGACTCCTGGGCTAAAGCCAGTGGGGCAGAAAAGGCACAAGGCTGGCATCAGATACTTCCTGGCTGTTCCTGGCACGCATCCCTGATGCTGGGCCTGACTGTCAGCTTTGGTCTGGGCTGGTATAGGTGACAAGTAGTTGGCCACTCATGCTGAGCTGGCTGGGGACAATGCATAAGAGAGGGGCCCCTTAGGGGCCTCAAGCTGGAGGGCTGAGGGCATTACCCAATCATCTGTCCATGGCAGGCAGCCTTGCTTGGCCACCAGGGCTGGGTAGTTCTGGGCCACCTTCCCTTTTTTTTGGTACCGGGGATTGAACTCAGGACCTTGTGCTTTCGAGGCAGGCGGTGGAACCACTGAGCTAAACCCCTGGCCCCACCCTCCCCTTTTTGACCAACCTGGTCAACTTTATGTTTCCTGGGCCCTTCTTCCTCCCTCTAGCATCTGTTGGAGGGCTGGTGTCCTTAGCTGGGTTGGGGGAGGGCCAGGGGCTGGCTGCTGGTTAAATTTAGTGAGTGGGGCGGTACAGCTGCCGAAGGTCCACATGCTACTACAGCTGCCAGTTGGGCCTTGCTGCCAAGGGGCGGGCAGTGGCTAGCTCTGCCTGAGGCCAGGTCCATATAGTGACCTTTGCTCTGGCCTATGAGCTGGAAGGTCATTGGGCAGTAGAGACAAGAGGTCCAAGGTGAGAGAGATGTGTGTTTGTGAGTGTGAATCCCATGGCTCCTGGTGGCTTCTCTGAGCCTGCAGAAGCAAAAGAGCAAGGCTACCCTTGGATCTGACCAGCTGCCAGCTGCTCAACTCAGCGGGCTGGCTCCCTGACCCTTGGTCACATTAGGCCTTAATTCCACCAGCATGGAGGCCTGGGTGGGCCAACTCTGAGCATGGCCTATCAGACTCCCTTCAGAGCCTGTGGAGGTGGGGCTCTGAGAGCCTATGGCAGCTCATTTCTTCTCTCCACCAATCAAGAGCAAGAAGAAAGGAGAGTTAGATTACCCTGGGCCTTGGGTGTGGCTGCACGGACAACCCCTGGTGGTGTGTGAAGGGTATGAGGGCAGCTCGGAGAAGCCCGGGGTGAGGTGTCTGAGGGTCCAGGGCTGGCCTGCCCCATATCCAGCCTTCTCCCTCTCCCCCTAACATCTTGCAGTGTTGATTAGGGACCAAGGTCCAACCACAGTGCTTTTGCAGCCTCTAGGTCATGACCACTGGCTAATGGAACCCAGAGTGTGAACTCACTCCCCTCCCCCATCACCCCCCAGGATTCCTAAGCCCTGGCCCAGTTACCAAGGAGACAGGTCTGCTGGACTAAGCAAAGATGGGGTTGCTGAGAAGGCTAGGTCTCAGCAGTGCCCTGCTAAAGTAAATCTCCAGTGGTCCTTGACTCCAGTCTCAACTTGGGGGTCACCCTGCTCAGCTCTGCCAACCCCTCAAGGACATTAGGCTTAAGGGCTGGGCCCTCCCCTACCCCAACACCCAGTCCATCTGTCCTTATTCCCCACGTGGGTCTCCTGCTCCCTGTCATGGGGACACTGGGCTTTGCCCCAAGCCCCGCCTGCCACCTCACCCACTCCCTCTGGCTCCCTGGGGCAGAACTGTGCCCAGATGGGCGGAGCCCAGGCAGCTCTAGCTCCTCAGCCCTTTCTGTCCCTTTCAGTGGGGCCAGCAGGCTGCAGTGAAGAAGGTGCCCTCTACTCAGGCTACTGCCTAGCCCTGATCCCATGATCCTGGATCCTGCTGTCCCCACTCTCACTTCTGGGCCTGCTGCCTCCTGAGCCACTTTCCTACCTGGTCTGAGCACAATCATGGCCCTGAGGGCAGGTGCCCAGAGTCAGACAGCAAGGAATGGGATAAAGGAGAAGGTGCTGACACTGGACACAATGAACCCGTGTGTACAGAGAGTGGAATATGCAGTTCGTGGCCCCATAGTGCTTCGTGCCTTGGAGCTGGAACAAGAGCTACGCCAGGTATGGCCTGGGCCTCTGGTCCCTCCTCCTGGATCCTAGTGGCACATGAGACAAGGGCTTCAGGAGTGTCTGCCCAGTCTCATTGCCAGCTCGCCTTCCTTTCCAGGGTGTGAAGAAACCCTTTACTGAGGTCATCCGTGCCAACATTGGGGATGCACAGGCCATGGGGCAGAAGCCCATCACGTTTTTGCGCCAGGTAAGACTCCTGCACTGCCTGTGATGCCCCTTTAACCCATGTCCCCTGGCCTCAGCTCTCTCTCCTCCCAGGTCCTGGCCCTCTGCATCTACCCGGATCTCCTGAGCAGTCTTGACTTCCCAGAGGATGCCAAGAGAAGGGCCCAGCGCATATTGCAGGCATGTGGGGGCCACAGCCTGGGTGAGTACAGGCGGCAGGCAGGCTCAAGCTCCAGGGAGAAGAGTGGGGTGCGTCTCTTGGGAGGGCCGCAGGGGGACTCATCCCTCGCGGGCCTGCCCTCTGCCCTGCCTGGCCCGGTCCAGGGGCCTATAGCATCAGCTCTGGGATCCAGCTGATCCGCGAGGATGTGGCGCAGTACATTGAGAGGCGCGACGGAGGGATTCCAGCAGACCCCAACAACATCTTCCTGTCCACGGGGGCCAGCAGTGCCATTGTGGTAGGCCGCGCCAGGGTAGAGGACACAGGGATTTAACGTGGGACAGGCTTGGGGCAGGGGAAAGGACCCACAGGCACCGTGCTGCTCTTCACCCATAGACTGTGCTGAAGCTGCTGGTGGCTGGCGAGGGCCGAACGCGTACGGGAGTGCTCATCCCCATTCCCCAGTACCCGCTCTACTCGGCCACGCTGGCCGAGCTGAACGCCGTGCAGGTGGACTACTACCTAGATGAAGAGAACGTTTGGGCACTGAACGTAGCTGAATTGCAGCGCGCGCTGCACCAGGCACGTGACCACTGCCGCCCGCGCGTACTTTGCGTCATCAACCCGGGCAACCCCACGGGTAAGCCCCCTCCCGGCCCCGCCCTTCTTGGGGCACCGCCCTTCTCCACCCTCCCTCGCCCCTGCTTTCCTAGGCCCCTACACCACACACTAGTTCCCAAGTGGCCGCTGTCCCTGCACCCCAGGGCAGGTGCAGACCCGTGAGTGTATCGAGGCTGTGATCCGCTTTGCCTTTGAAGAGCGGCTCTTCCTGATGGCTGACGAGGTGCGGGCAGGGGAGCGGGGTGGGGTGGAGTGGGGGGCAGCTGGGCTGCACGCCGCCGGCCCGCTTGATGCCGCTACTCCGCAGGTGTACCAGGACAACGTGTACGCCCAGGGCTCACGCTTCCACTCGTTTAAGAAGGTGCTCACAGAGATGGGGCCGCCTTACGCAGAGCAGCAGGAGCTCGCTTCCTTCCACTCTGTCTCCAAGGGCTACATGGGCGAGTAGGTGGAGACCCCCCCACCCGGGGGTGGTGCCCCATGACCCACGTCACCGCCCCAGTTTTGACACCCACCCTGCCCCCATAGATGTGGGTTCCGCGGCGGCTATGTAGAGGTGGTAAATATGGACCCTGAGGTGCAGCGGCAGATGCTGAAGCTGATGAGCGTGCGGCTGTGCCCGCCAGTGCCGGGTCAGGCCCTGCTGGACATGGTGGTCAGCCCGCCTGCGCCTTCCGACCCCTCCTTCGTGCAATTTCAAGCAGTGAGCGTTGGGGCTGTGTTGTCTGGCGGCCCAGAAGTGAGCCTGGGGCTAGGGAATGCTGTGCACTTCGCCTCCCTGATCGCCTTCTCCCTTGGCCATAGGAGAGGCAGGAAGTGTTGGCTGAGCTGGCTGCCAAGGCCAAGCTCACTGAGCAAGTCTTCAACGAAGTTCCCGGGATCCACTGCAACCCGGTGCAGGGTGCCATGTACTCCTTCCCACGCGTGCAGCTGCCTCCACGGGCAGTGCATCGAGCTCAGGTCTGGTGGGCTGGCAAGGCAGCCTGGGGTGGGGGTGAGCACTAGGGTAAGCATGGCACCCTGACCATCCTTCACAATACCAGGAGCTTGGCCTGGCCCCAGATATGTTCTTCTGCATGTGCCTTCTGGAGGAAACTGGCATCTGCGTGGTGCCTGGGAGCGGCTTTGGGCAACAAGAAGGCACCTACCACTTCCGGTGAGCCCCAGTCTGTACAGCCCCACCTTGAGCCTGGCTCTGCTCCTTGGCTTATTACCCACCCCTTTCAGAATGACCATTCTTCCCCCAATGGAGAAGCTGCGGGTGCTACTGGAGAAGCTGAGCCATTTCCATGCCAAGTTCACCAGAGAGTACTCCTAAAGCCACTGCTGGAGTCAGGTTGGGGCACTGCAGACTGACTGTGCCCAGGGACCTAGAGGTCTCTGGAGCCCTTGGGACTTACTGCTGCCACCACCAGGGGCTGGACACCTGCTTCTGCAGTTCCCTAATAAAGCTGGGTGCCAGTCTGACTCTGGAGACAGTGTGCACAGCTGCATGGGCAACCTTGCCTGAGGGGCACTAGGCCCATCTTTCAGGAGGAGTGGCCAAAGAGAACTTCCAGAAAGGGGCCTTCACAGCTAGGGTCTACCTGTCAGTCCTAGAGACACTGCCTGCCTGGGCTGGGTCTCGAGTGCTTTCTGGCCTATAGACACTGATCATTCACATAAAAATTAAGTAAAGAGGGCTGGAGATTTAGCTCAGTGGTTCTGCCACCTGCCTCATAAGCGCAAGGTCCTGAGTTCGATCTCTGGTACCCAAAAAAAAAATTAAGTAAAGGACTGGGGATGTAGTTCATTGATAGGGTCCTGGGTTCAATTCCCCAGCACTGGGAAAAAAAAGAAAAATGAAAAAATCAGTTGGCCTTACTAATAAGTTTGAAGGCAGCCTCATGGTCAGCCGAGCCTCAGGGAGGTGAGGGGCTTGACAGGGAAGCACAGAGGCATGTGTCCTAGAAGGGCATAACGGAAACAGCTTGCTTTCCTGAGGAAGACAGAGGAAGGTGTATCCCTCATCCTAGTCCTTCCTGTGCCAAGTGCAGGAAGGAATTGTTTGGGTGGGGTGATTGGCAAGTTGGGAGTAACGTTGGGCTCAAGACACCCTGCCAGCTGGATGTGGCCAGAGCAGGGGGAGGTTCTCCTGCAATACACCCCTCTGTCAGGGAGGTTTGGAGAGGGCTGACGAGCATCTCAGGGGAGGACCCATCATCTTTGCCCCAAAACACAAGATGAGTGTCTGCTTGGTGCATTCTAACTGCAGTGTTCCTCTGAGGCAGACATAGACATTCCTATCTTATGCATGAGAAAACTTGGGCCAGGAAAATATCTGGAAGCAACAGGACACCCACTTAAGGTGGCTCAGCAGCCAAGAAATGTGCTGGATCTCTTCCTGCAGTGACACAGCTGTCCAAGTATCCTTGAGCATCCAAGATAGCTTGGTTCTTAATCCAAGGTCTTACTTCATAGCCCCATCCTAGCCTTGGGGTCCCCAGAGGGCATAGCTCTGGGCAACAGGAGGTACACAAGGGCATCCCTGGTCGGGCAGGGCCTGACTGAGCAGGCTGTCCCATCCTTGTCACAGACACCAGGGCATCATGGGCAGTGGCTGGCTGTGTCTTCCTGGATGAGCTTGGGCTCTAGTCTTTCACACTTGGCTCATCTCTCCCTTCTGTGGCCCTTTGTGGCCACTGCCTTGGGGAGGGGGCCGAAGCCACACATACAGCAAAGGGGTGGGCCTGAAGCACCTATGAGTAGACAGGCTGACTCCTCCATGGGGCATGGACACCGGGAAGCACGTCTGAGCGAGTATGATAGCTCAGGGGTGGAGAAGCCGGACCATTGAGCAAGAATATGGTTGATTCCCATGTTGGATACGAGCTGTCTGTCCGCAAAGGACTGTTGCGTGTCCGTGCCAGGGGGCGCCAGAGAGCTGGAGGTGCAACGCTCTAGGCTCGTCCAAGCTCGGTGACTCTCGCAGCCCTCCGGCGCTAGGGCGCATGCGCAAACATTTTGTCCTGGCTCTTGTTTCCGAGCTCTGGAGCACAGGAGGGCACGGTTGGGAAGGAGGCTCCGGAGCCTGCAGGTCCTGCCTGGCCGAGCACCGGTGGTCTGCCCTTCGTTTTGTCCCTAGTTTTGGCTCTTTCGGAGGGTTGATACCAACTGTACTGGAGTACGCTCGTCGGGCACCAGCCGTCCAGCTGTGGCCCTGTGCGGATGGGCCTGCACCTCGTCATACCCCACACAAAGTCCGCACCACCCGACGCTGGCTATGCGCGCAAAGCTGCTGCCACTAGCTGGTCTCTACCTGGTGCAAGGCCTTCCTTATGGGTTGCAGTCTGGCCTGCTACCTCTCTTGATGCGAGCCCGCGGCCTCTCCCTCGCACGCGTAGGTCTGATCAAGGGGCTGTACGCACCGTGGCTGTTCAAACTGGCATGGGCACCGCTGTTAGACAGGCGGGGCTCCCCGCGGGCCTGGCTGGCACTCAGCACAGCGGCGCTGGGCCTGGTGTGTGCGTTGCTGGCTGCAATGCCTCCCGCCGTGTCTGGCCAGGCGGGGCTGCCCGCCACCGTAGTGGGCCTGCTACTACTGCTGAACCTGGGCGCTGCTGTGCAGGATGTGGCCCTGGACACAGTGGCTGTGCAACTCCTGGAGCCAGCCGAGCTGGGACCCGGCAACACTGTGCAGGTGGTAGCTTACAAGCTGGGCTCAGCGCTGGCTGGGGGCGGGCTGCTGGCCCTCTTGCCCAGTCTCACTTGGCCACTGTTATTTCTACTCCTGGCTGCCACCTACTGGCTAGCTGCTGCCTTGGCCTGGGCTGCAGCAGCCCTGCAACAGCTGCCCTGGCCTCAACCCTCAGAGCACACTCCACGCCATCTGCAAGATTTGCTGGCTGTGCCCGGGACCTTGTGGACAGCAGGCTTTGTGCTAACCTACAAGTTGGGTGAGTGAGGCCTTGTGTCGGGCAGTGGAAGCGCTGGGGGCCCAGGAGCTCTGGAACACTTAGATCACCCTTTCTGGGATATGATCTGCCAGTTGGAGCCCAGCCCCAGCAACAAGGGCTCAGGCTCTGAAGTCTGGCCCTGCCCCTTGTCTTCCCTCAGCTCCAGCCACAGCCCTTTGGGTTGCTCAGGTATTGCTTCGTACTAGGAAGATGGAGGCAGGGCTGGGACCTGCCTGGTTGAACACAACTGAAGCCCCAGGTGGGGAGAGGGGCGGCAGGGATGGTATGGGGACCACCCCTGCTCATAGTTTCCTGCAGGTGAACAGGGTGCTGGTAGCCTGTTTCCACTCCTCTTGTTGGACCATGGTGCTTCTGCCTCTGAGCTGGGGCTGTGGAGTGGCTTGGGTGCAGTAGCCTGCTCCATTGCTGGCTCCTCCTTGGGCGGGGCCCTACTGGCCAGACACTGGTGAGCCTTCCCCACCCCACCCCCTGCCCCCTTGGTTGGCCCGATCTGGAATCCTGACCTGCCCTCTCCCTATCCCCACCCCAGGCAGCCACTGCCTTTGCTGAGGTCAGCGCTTCAACTTCGCCTTGGAGGCCTGGCCTGCCAGACCGCCCTGCTTTTCCACCTGGACACTCCAGGAGCCAGTCTGGGCCCTGGCACCATGCTGAGAGGTGAGGGGCTGGCCTGGGGGAGGGAAGGGCCAGGGGGCCTGGGGCCTGCTGATCTCTGCCCTCCCAGGAGCGGCCTTGCTGAGTCTGTGTCTGCAGCACTTCCTGGGGGGCCTGGTTACCACCACCACCTTCACTGTGATGATGCACTGCAGCCAACTGGCACCCAGAGGCCTGCAGGTGAAGGGATGTGGTAAGGACACCCAGGGGCTGCAGGGCTGGAGAACCAATAGGCCCTGACCCCCCTCTTCAACCCTCAGGCCACACACTACAGCCTCTTGGCCACACTGGAGCTGTTGGGCAAACTGCTGCCGGGCACCCTGGCTGGAGTGCTGGCTGATGGCCTGGGTCCAAATCCCTGCTTTGGTGTCTTCCTTGTGCTCTCAGCCCTGCCCCTTCTGGAACTGTATCTGGCAACCAGCACCTTGGGCTGAGCTGAGCAGCAGGACTGTCAAAGTCAAGTGTGCCTATGGCTGAATGCTTGTCTAGAACATGTGAGATGCAGGTGTCCCGAGGCTGACAGTGGCCTCTTTTGAAAGAAAAGCCCATAAAACAACTTGAACACATTTATTCTGCACACTGGAGCCTCCTTGTTTCCATAAGCTTGTTAGTGGTCAGTCACTGTCCTGACCACTATGGCCACATGGCCCAGCCTAGTGTCTCCGTGTGGGGAAGGAAGCACTTTCCTGGAAGGGCAGTCATCGGCCTGCCAACAGGAGCTCCTCTGTAGCCAGGAGCATCAGGCCATGGAAGTTCAGATGGAGGTACTTTCTCCAAAAGCGCTGGTCCCGTCCGTACACCTCAGCTGGGTAACAGGGGCTTCCTACAGTGGCACAGAGACAGGCCTGAGGACTCTGGGCTCGTTACAGCCCCTGGTCCTTGCTTGCCTCAGGAAGCTCCTGGGGCCCTCACCGATGCCATGGAAGATTCGGGCCACAGCCCTGCCTGAAAACCTCTCCTCTGGCCACAGGGACAGGAGCTGGCGGATGTTAGGGCGAACCTGGTCCTCCCAGTCTTGGAGCTGTGGGTGGGTGGGCACATAAGACTTGGCATATCCATGGTATCATGCTCCACACAGCCCAGCCCCAGGCCTGCCCAGGAAACCTTGAGCCAGGCTGGATGGGACCCAAACAGCGGTGGTCACGTGTGTGTATCATGGCTGTCTTCCCTAGAAACCACCCTCAAAGTGGTGCCACTCACCTGGGCCTGCCCAGGTTCTGGGCTCTGCTTGTCCTCCACGCCCTCCTCGTCCTCCTCTTCCTCCTCCTCCTCAAAATAGTGGCTGAGCAGGGTCTTCAGCTGAGCACTGCGCTCCTCATCAGGCTGCTCTAGGCAGGGCCCACAGCTGGGGAAGGCCACACTGGAGCAGAACAGGCATATCAGAGCTACTTAAGAGGCTAGGTGGGTGGCCCCAGACCTTGCTGCCCTTCTCCCCACCTGTGAAAAGCCTGGAACATTCGACGCAGACGGGCCAGGGCCTTGCACTCACGGGTCTGCACACAGCTGTACAGAAAGTCACAGACCTGGTCTCTCTCCTCAGCTGTCAAGTCCCCAGGACTGCGGAAGTGGAAGGCCAGTTCCCCAAACTCCACAAGCACTCCAGTACCCTGCAGCATACCTGCCAGGAAGTGTCAGTCACAGGTGGCAGATTGGGAATGCAGAACCTAGGGTGGGGTGGGGATAGGCACACCTGTTCTAGGCTCTGGGTCCCACTGCAGCTGGTGGAGAGACCGCCGCACAGAGGACAGCTCCCAGCCCATTGAGTCCACCAGCTCCACCACATTGAACTCCATGGAGCAGCTGCCCTGCTTTGTGTCCTTAGGTGGCCACCGGGCCCAGCATGCAGCCACAGGTGGATACCTATGCCCAGGGGAAAGGGACATGTAGCCAGCAGCCCTGGTCCTTTGACCCTATCCGCAACCTAGATTGGGGAATACTCACCTATGGGCCAGGGTCTGGAGCTGGTTGGTACCCCCAGGGCAGTACAGACGGCAGTGGGCATAGGTGGCTGGCAGCAGCTCAAGCCAGTGCTGTGGATGAAGCTCCAGGTAGCACAGCAGAGTCTCAATGGCTGAGGAGAAGAGTTGAGGTCAGGGGGTGCAGGAGCAGCCCCTCCACACACCCCACATCCTCTGGCCCTCACCCTCCTCTGACAAATCCAGGGCCTGCACTGTTGGCTGCACGGGGAGTGCCCGCTCATGTCCTGGGCAGGCCCGACCCTGCCCAGAGGCTGCTGGGCAGCCATCAGGTTGCTTGGCCGCCACAGGCAGAGCCTCAGCTGCAGGCTTTGTCTCATTGTCGCCGCCTCCTTCCTTCCTTTCCCGCTGGGTGCAGGTGCAGGGCGGGAACACACACCGCATCAGTTTCTTCATGGCCAGGAAGTCAGCACCATCCCTATGCACATGTCTGCGCAGCTCTTGAAGGTCCTCACCCTGTAGTAGAACACTTAGGAGTATATGGCCAGAGAACTGAGGGTAGGGTACAGGGAACAGTGGGACACTAACCTGGGGCTTCAGGAAGAGGTGGCAGTGGGCGGGCTGCCCATCACGCCCAGCACGGCCCACGGCCTGCACATAGTTCTCGAAGCTTGAGGGCAGCCCAAGGTGCAGCACGGCCCGGACGTCTGGGCGGTCTAGCCCCATCCCGAAGGCCACTGTGGCCACTACCACCCGCAGCTGGCCCTTCATGAAGGCCCGCTGCACTCGCTGCCGCTCCCGGTTGCACATGCCAGCGTGGTAAGCTTCAGCCACATCTTCGGGGGCACGACCTTTGGGGAAGTTGATATTGGTGGGACAAGAGCATGTGTGCTGGGTGGTCTTTGGAAGACCCAGCCTTGCCTGTGCCTACCTCTGAGCTTCGGGTCCTGCACTGCATATAGGCAGGTTCGGAGGAGTGCAGCAACCCTCTGTGTGTCCTCACGTCGGTTACAGTAAACAATGACAGAATCCAGAGTGCGGAAACGGTCACCTTGCAGCAGTGTCACCAGAGCCTGGCAAGGAGCAGTGTTGGCCTAGGCTGTGGGGAGGTGGGATCCCCATCCTGGCCCCTGGTGTGCACACACTTACCTGTTCTGGGTCTTTGTCTGTGGACACAGACAGGTGCAAGTTGGCAGGGATGGCAGCTGCCTCTCTGGGACCGAGTTCCTCGGCCATTCCCAGGTGTTGGGCTACATCACGGGCAGTGCGACGTGTGGCTGTGGCTGTTAGGCCCAGGAAGCACTGCACACCCATACGCTCCCGAAGCACCTATACCAGGAGGAGGGTAGTAGGAAGGCCATTTGGACTCATACGGGCCTTGCCACACCCACCCATGCTGGCCCCAAGTTGCTCACTTTGCAGATGCGCAGGTAGCAAGGCCGGAAGTTGTGTGACCACTGAGAGATGCAGTGGGCCTCATCGATGCAGGCAAAGGCCACTGGGGGCAACTGGGCAGCCTGAGGGAGGCTGACAGGGCCCCCAGAACCAGCCCCAACCAACGCCTCAGGGGACAGCATCAGCACATGAACCTGGGCTGCCTGCACCTGAAAGTAGCAGGGTCAGCAGCACTGGCCAAGTTGTGTTCCCCTCTGCCCCCAGTCCACGGGGTGTCCCCTGACCTTCTGCAGGACAGAGTCTCGTTGCTTCCTGGTCATGCCTGAATGGAGGCAGGCAGCCTTGAGACATGGAGGCAGGCTGGATAGCTGCAGACAAAGGCAATGCCATCACAGCCCAGCCCAGCCCCAGTCCTCCTGAATCCTCCCAGAGCTGCTTAACCCAGCAGGATCTCCAGGACGAAAAGCACCAGATCCTGGGTCCTGGGAAGAAGATCCTGAGGCGAGGAGCTCTGAGCCCCTAGCTGGGCCTGGTTGGTGCGTGCTGAGGTCAGGCTTTGTTACTCTCAGGTAGAGACGAGCCATGTACCTTACAGCTCTTCTCAGTGGGTTCAGGGAACAGGAAGTAGCCTGAGAGTATCACAGGTGTCAGTTTTTAGCTATCTACACGTGCTGAGAGCCCCATCCACATACCTGATCATCCATGAGAGACAAGAGGGGAGAGATGACCAGAGTGAGGCAGGGGCTGCGCTGGGCATATAGCAGTGCAGGAAGCTGGTAGCACAGGGATTTGCCAGCGCCTGTGGGCAGCACCAGCAATGTGGAGATGCCTGGGCAGGACAAGAGGCAGCTGTAAGGCTCTGTGGCACATCACTACTCAGCCCAGCCCCAGATAGCCCCACTTACCAGACAGAATCCGCATGACTGTGCGCTCCTGCCCAGGGCGGAAGGCTTTGTGCCCAAGCTGCTCCAGGGCCTGGAACACCTCAGCTGGTGTCTCTGTAGACACAGATATTGGTCACCATAGCTCCTGAGTGTCCCCACCCCTTGAAGACTCAGACAGTTTCTGCTCACCTACTACCTGCCCTGAGGGCCCTGGTGGGTAGAGAGGCAGCACTGAGGAGACTGTGTGTGGTGCCTGTAGCTCAGGCCCAGCAGGCTCTGTGTCCTTACCTGCAGGGGCAGACCAGAGAAGGGGACCCAATCTCAGCCAAGACCAACATGGCACCACAGTCACAGGCCACAATCACCCTCCTCTCCCTACTCACTGGGGAGGTGGCAGCAAGCAGTATTTATCCTCTGGGTTACTTCCTCCAAAGTGGGAAAAGTCTGTGTGTCACCTTTGTCCTTATCACCCTCCTTTTGGGAGATCAGGGTGGGTCCTGGGCCAGGAGTAGAAAGCTAGTAGAGCCTTTTACTCCCCAAGAGTATGGTGCCCTTATTGCCTAGTATCATCCCACCCAGTTCCCCAGGGTAGAGGCCTACCTAGCTGAGGGCACTGGGATGCCCAGTGGCCAAACTGCCCACATCGGAAACAAGACTCCTCAACCATGGCTCTGGGCCCACCAACCCCAAAATGCTCTCTTTTCTTCTGCCACTTCTGCTTCCATGCCTGGAAAGGGTCCGCAAGGGAGAATCATGTGGGAAGAAGACAGGAGAGGGGCAAGGGGATGCCCACCATGTCCTGTCCTACTTGTCTCACCTGCTTTCGGAGGAGCCTGCCTCGAAGGGCTCCACCCCGCACATAGCGTTTTTGCTTCATGTTGAGTCGAATGTAGTTACCCTTATCCCGGATGGCTGTTTGAGAGCAGGTGTGGGAGCGGGGTGTGATCTCAGCCTTCCCTACCTCAGCTGGCCTTGAAGTGCCACTGTACAGCTGACGTGGATGGGCCTGTGTAGCATCCTCTGTTGGGTCCTCTAGAACTGAAGCCCCAGCCCCCTCAGACTGGAGTCTTGCTTGGTTGCTGTCCCATTGGGCCGGCACAGGACTGCTGTCATTCTCCTTAGTCCACCTTTGCTTCTTGACTGTATGGCTGCTGAGCTGGGGACTCCCTGCCCTGGTTTGTGTTGCCTGTGGCACTGGAGCATCTGGGCCTTGAGAAGGTGCCTCAAGGCAAGTATTGGAGCCAAAGACTGCCAATTCCCCTGGAGTCAGAGTTTGAGACTCCTCCATGCTGCAGGCCTCAGAGGCCTCCAGGAAATCTAAGGGTCCATTGTGACACCGATGCAGCCAGCCAGGGTCTAGGGAGCTCAGCCGCAGACTCAGGGATTCCCGAAGCTGCTGGAGTCGTCCTGGCCTTGGCTGGGGCTCAGAAGGCTTGGTAAGTTTATCGATGAGTTCTTCTGGAAAGGTGGGAGGAGTCCCTGGGCCTAGTGGTTTTAGGGTAGGCAACTTGGACAAGAGTCTTCCTGGAGGCTGGTGCCTGCAGCCCAGGGCTGGCTCAGCCTGGGACAGGAGGACAAAATAGTAAGCAGAGACCCAGGCTCCTGGGCTGCTGCAGACTCAAAAAATTGCCTGAGTCCCCACCCTCCGTGTTAGAGAAGGGTATGAAGCTGGGACACGAAGGAAGCTGAAGCAGAGGCTGCTCCGGAGCACCCCTCAGGAGTCAGGCCCTGGTTAGCACAGGACGTGATACCTGAGTGAACACACAGGTGGAAGGGTGGACAGAAAGAAGCACCTAGTGAACTTGCCATGAGCCAAGAGCCAAGGGGAGCTCTGGGCCTAGAGTGGATGCACTACTAGTCTACTTCCACTTCCCACCTGTAGGATGACCTTCAGATTGGTCTTAAGTCTCTTCCCATAGTCTTGTGCAGATCCCCGGGGGCTCAGCATTGGAGTAGGCTGTGGAGTCTGTGTTGCAGCCCGATTCAGGTGGGATCCCCAACAGCCGGACTCTGGAGCCTGCAGAAGACAGAAACAACCCAGACCAGAGAAAGGGTGGCCTGGATCAAATGGGCCTCCAACTCTCGACCAGCAGGATAATCTGGTCCTTCCCCACTCTTCCCCGTTCTCCTTTCAAGCTCTGCACCCACAAGGGCTTGGCTGTGATTGCCCTTGACTCCTGACATTCGGCCTCACAATGAGCTAACCAGGAGGCTGGGGTTCCGGGTGTGGGTACCTCCTTGGCTGCAGCGGGGAGCAATGGCTTGGGGCTGCGGGGCCCACGGCCCCTCAGGCCCATAGTCTGCTTCAGGCCGCGATACTTGCGGTAGAGAGCTGGGGTGGGAGGGAGGGAGTCGGAGTCAGAACAGGACCCGAGCTTCAGTCACCCTGGCTCCTCCCATCCTAGCAGCGCGCTCACCGCGGATCTCCTCGGGCGCCGCCTCCACGTCCTCCTGTGAAGGGAGCGTGTCAACCAGAGGCCGCGGCCTCAGACTTCAACCCCAGCTGTGGGAGGCCCGCACCTGGCCTGGCCGCTGTCCATGCTGCCGCGCGAACGAGCGCTCCCACGCCTGCAGGCGCGCCCGCAAGCTCCACAGCTGCTCCATTGCGTCCAGGTCCCGCGCCCGGCAAATTTCCCGCCGCTAGGGCGTCCTCCGGAAGCCAGTCAATGGGAAGGAGCGGCGCGAACATGGGTGGATCCTTTGGGCCGGGCGGCCAATCTGCAGGCCCCTGGAGGAATATCCAATGGGAGGCGAACGTCATCGCGGCGTGCCGCGACGCTGGGCGGGACCGACATGGAGTAGAGGCGGGGCTGGAGGCGTTGGTGGCTGCTGCGGGGCAGGTGATTGTGCGCTACTGGGCTGGGATCAGAGTCCCCGAGGGCGGGGCGTTAGACCACAGACTGCCGAGCTGTGGAGGCGGGGCTGGCGGTTGGGAGGCCCGGAGCGGGAGGCCTGACAGTGCCGCTGCGGCTGGGACGCGCCTGGTCGGAGGAGCAGGCCGGTCTAACGGGGGAGGGGCGTCGGGTTTAGGCCTCTTGGTAGGGCCTGGAAGAGCCTGGTGGAGGCGTCTGCGCCATTCGTGGCGCGGGGGCTGGGGCCGCTGCTTTCCCGAGAGAGCGGCTGGCCAGGCGTGGGCGTCGCCTAGAGGCACCTCACTTGGCAGCCACACCGGCTGCTTTCATTTCCTCTCGTGACAGGTGCTCGGTGAGTCTGTCCTGTCTTCGAGATCTGCAGCGTCCTCGCGAGATTTGAGCATGGCCGAGCCAGGCAGAGGGTGGGTGTCCGGGGTTTCTCAGGAACCGGTGCCATAAGGACTTGTTGTGTGTGCAAGGTCAGCAAGCGCAGGGGTCCTGGAGTTGGACTGGTCTCCACCCTCTTCCTTAAGCTGTGACCTTGGCCTTAGTTTTCCAGTCTGTCAGAGGGGGATTATGGTGCACAGGAAGTCTGCTAAAATCAGCTGCAGGGCTGATCCCACGTCGCAGATATCCTGATGGCCTCAAGGGTCGTTTGTGTGCGTCTTCTCAGCTTGGATGCTGCTTTGGCAGCCGTCTCTGCCTCATTTGAGGAATCCCTGGCCTGAGCCCTTCTGTATCTCATGGATTTAAGTCATGGTTTCTCCTCACATTAGTTCTTCAGGGAAGAGACAGATGACTAGGCAGGTGGAAATGACCACTGAAGGTGAGAGGCTTTTTCTCAGGGGTTTCTATGCCTGGTGACGTCCCAGAAAATAGTAATTAACTGTGGGGCTCGGATTGAGGTCCTTGATCTCATGGGTCACGTTAACTGGACTCTCTTTCCTGGGTTCTGCTCCTTTTCTTATCGGCTCTGCTGTTTATTAAGCTGTGTCTGTGCTGCATGGATTCCAAGGACAGCTCTTGAGCACATCTGTGAGGAGGGTGAGCAAGGGAAACATGATGTGGCTGCTGGCCTGGGAATACACCTGTTCTAGGCGTGGTGGAGGTCTGAGGGTTGGGACTGGGCTTTACTCTACTTTTGAGAAGGATTTCTGAAGCAGCTTTGTGATTTGGGAAGCCTGAAGTACCAATGGGAGACCCTGCAGAGCGACCACCTTCTGTCAGAAGCACACACAAACAAGCAGGTTATTGATGGTGCCATCCCATTTATGTACTGCTTGATGCTTTGTTTTCCTAAAGAAGCCGCATGCTACTGGAGGTTGGTGACTGGGGTATGGCCTTGTTCCTTGTCTACTGGGCCTAGCCCAGTCCTAGGCATCCAAGAGGTGCTTCTCTGTACCACTATCCTCCACTGACTGGCAACCCTATGCCAGGCACCGTGTTGGGCTTTCTCACCACTGGTATATGGAGGGGGCCTGGCTTAGGGTTGGTCTTCTCCACTGAAAGACCCTCTCCTGCAGGTGGCTGCCTGCCCAGCCCAGCGCCATGCATACACTTGTGTTCCTGAGCATGCGGCAGGTGCTCAAGTGCCAGTCAGCTGCCTGCCAGGCCTTGCCCCTGCTGCCCCGAGAACTCTTCCCCCTGCTCTTCAAGGTGGCCTTCATGGACAAGAAGACAGTTGTACTGCGTGAGTTGGTACACACATGGCCCTTCCCACTCCTCAGCTTCCAGCAGCTCCTGCAGGAGTGTACCCACTGCAGCCGGGCCCTGCTGCAGGAGCGGCCCAGTACTGAGAGCATGCAGGCTGTGATCCTGGGGCTGACTGCTCGGCTCCACACCCTGGAGGGTGAGGCTGGCACACAACCCCTCTGCAGGTATGGGCTTACCTGAGGGGCCCTTCAGCCTGGGAGTACAGGGGGTGGGCCCTAAGAAGGTTCTAGGCTGGGGTCCTGGGGGCTAGCAAGAGTTCAGTATGGGAGCAGGTATATTGCTTCTATCCCAAGGTGGCTGGGAGTGGGAGCGGGAGTGGGTTTGTGTCCTTCCCCTGTCCCCTCATCCCCTGCCTCAGGCCATCCCTGCTCCCAGGAAGCATGCTCTTCGGGTGCTGGATATGACTGGTCTCCTGGATGATGGTGTGGAGCAGGACCCTGGTACCATGAGCATGTGGGATTGCACAGCAGCTGTGGCCCGCACATGCATTGCCCAGCAGCATGGTAGGAATGCAGAGCAAGGGCAGGTTCCTGTCCCTGTGGAGGTTCGTGTGGATCTTCGGGTGAACCGGGCCTCTTATGCATTCCTTCGTGAGGCACTCCGAAGCAGCCTAAGCAGCCCACTTCGGCTCTGCTGCCGGGATCTCCGGGCTGAGGACCTGCCCATGCGTAATACCGTGGCCCTGCTGCAGCTTCTGGATGCAGGCTGCCTGCGCCGTGTGGACCTGCGCTTCAACAATCTGGGCCTGCGTGGCCTGTCTGTCATCATCCCACATGTGGCCCGTTTTCAGCACTTGGCCAGCCTGAGGCTGCATTATGTACATGGGGATTCAAGGCAGCCCTCCGTGGATGGCGAGGACAACTTCCGCTATTTCCTGGCTCAGATGGGCCGCTTTACCTGTCTTCGGGAGCTCAGCATGGGTTCTTCCCTCCTTTCAGGCAGGCTGGACCAACTGCTCAGGTGAGTGGGACCACCACTGCTCTGTTTCCCTAATGTGAGGACCCTCCCTTAGGTCTTCCTGTTTGTGACCCCATGTCCCCACAGCACTCTGCAGAGCCCCTTGGAGAGTTTGGAGCTGGCCTTTTGTGCTCTGGTGCCTGAGGACCTGCAGTTCCTGGCACGGAGCTCCCATGCTGCCCACCTCAAAAAGCTGGACCTAAGTGGGAACGACCTGTCAGGCAGCCAGCTGACACCCTTCCAGGGTCTGTTGCAGGCAGCAGGGGCCACACTGCTGCATCTTGAGCTGACTGAGTGCCAGCTTGCTGATGCCCAGCTATTGGCCATACTACCCACCTTGACTCGCTGTGTCAATCTCCGCTATCTTGGCCTGTATGGCAATCCATTATCCATAGCTGGCCTTAAGGAGCTGCTGCGGGACTCAGTGGTGCAGGCTGAGTTGCGCACTGTAGTGCACCCCTTCCCTGTGGACTGCTACGAAGGTCTTCCCTGGCCACCCCCTGCATCTGTCCTGCTGGAGGCCTCCATCAATGAGGAAAAGTTTGCTCGTGTAGAAGCTGAGTTGCACCAGCTACTGCTGGCCTCAGGCCGTGCCCATGTGCTCTGGACCACAGACATCTATGGACGCCTGGCTGCAGACTATTTCAGCCTGTGATCTCCAAGCTCTGGATGATACACAGGTCAGGAGCCTTTGTTGGGACTCTCTTGGGGGCCTGACACAAAGGCACTGGTCTCAGGCTTCTTGCAGGGTCTCCCTTGCTCCTTGGCACTTCCTGAGGCTCCCGTTTCCTGTTGTGTCTTTCACTTTGGCTTGCACCTATTTCCTAACAAGCTGTGGGCCGAGCTGGATTTCAGGCCGGCACTACCCTATTCAGTGTGGCTGTATTCTGGAGTCTTGGTCTTCTCTGTAGACATTTCTGGGACCCTAGTCATGAGCTGAGGACAGTGGTCTCTGTGGACCCTTCCCAAAACTGCATAGGTGGAAGTCACGATGGGGGCCTGCTTCAGGGAGGCTTGGGGCTTCATACTGTGTTCCCTGCCCCCTACCCAAACTAACCTGTCAGCTAGTTCTGGGACTTGAGAGTGTTATGAAGCCACAAATGTGCAGTGTACCTGGAACTTAGATCTCTGGCTGATTTTTGTGTCCTAATTGGTCAGAGTGCCTTGTTTCAATCTGTCATGTTAACCCCAGCATGGCCACTGGGCAACAACTCATCTCGCCTGTTGCCCTTTCGTTGCTAACTTTACCAGCATTTCTCTTTTAACAGCTGCCAGGAGCAGCGTTCTTCCCCGTAGAAGGGGGTTTGGGGGGGTTTCTCCGGCTTCAGTCCCTCGCATCCCCAGGACTCCCGTGGGCGGCAACACACACATGGCTCAGGGCAAACGCGCAGCTTTCACCTTTACTGAGGGATTGAGCCAGTCAATCCCGGGTGCATACGTCATCAGTACGCGCCACGAGCTCAGCAGTGGATCTCATAGGCAACCCGCGGCGGGAGGCGGAAACCCGGCGCCAGGCCCTCCGTTGTGCCTAGGTCCTCGGGAGTCTCCACTGGCCCCTCGATGAATAGGGGCTTGGAACGATCGATGACGAACATCTCGTGGCCGCGCTCGTCGCGGAGCTCCTCCAGTTGCGCGAAGGTGCAGGGCCCGTCAGAGTAGTCGTTGACGAACAGTGTGCCTTCCCCCGGCGGCGTGCGCGCCTTTTTCCGCCGGCGCCGGCGCCGGCAGATCATGGCGGCCAGCAGCAGCGCTGTAAGCGCCAGCAGTGCGATGGCCGCCGCGATGGCCGTCTGTGTGGCAAGGCCCAGAGCGCGGAAGGCCATGCTGCCCGCCTCGTGCTGTGGCTCTTGGCCTGCGGGGCGCGCGGCCGGGGCAGGGGGGACCGGCGGGTGTGGCCGCGTGGCGTTGACTAGGAGGCGAAAGGGTACGCGCGCGGCGCCGCCGGCATTGGAGGCTTCGCACTCGTATTTGCCTGCGTGTGCCAGGGTGATGTTGGTGAGGAAGAGCATGCCACTGCCGGTGTCAGGAGCTCCGTTCCTGTTCAGGCCTGGCGCCCAGCCTTCCAGCTGGGCCTGGGCCTGTGGCTGCTTTTCCCGAGGCTGGGGCACCTTCCTCCAGGTTACCAGGGGCTGTGGGTAGCCTGAGGCCTGGCAGGCCACCCGCAGGTCCTCTCCCAGGTTGGCTGTGACCTCCAGCGGTTCCACGTGTACAGAGGGCGGAATGCAGATGAGGCTACTGCCTGATACATCCAGGAGACTCTGCAGCGCCAGGCGAGGGGGCTCTGCACACATGATCTTCTTGTCTCTGGAGCTAAGCAGTCGCTGGCCCCCTTCCTTGATCCAAGCACCCAGCCAGTGCAAGGCACAGTCGCAGCGCCAAGGGTTCTCTGCAGGCAGAACAGAACAGAGCTTAAGGAGTTGGGGTTCTGCTGGGACAGGTAGAAACTCCTTTCCCATCTCCCAGAGCATCTCACCAGAGTCCAGGATCCTTGTCATCTCTTCTCTGACTCCAAGCTCCCTGGGGTGGTGGTAGGCCCCTCCAAGCTCCCTGGGGTGATGGCAGGCCCTTCATTGCCTGTCCCTGAGACAGCTTCTGCTCCTCTTAAGTTTCACCCAAATAAGTCTCACTGTTTCAGGGAACCTCCGTGTCCACACAGCCCAACAGCACTAAAACCTTGTCTTCAGATGCCCTCTCCTGGAAATGCCCCCAATCCTGGCCAGCTGTCTCTCTTGTTTTTGCCTGCCTGCCTTCTGATAACCTCAAAAGTGTTCAAGAACTTTGGTACTTTTAAGTCACCCTGCATCTGTCTTCCTTAAGTAGCTGCAGGTTGGAGCTGTATCTCTGCCAGCTTCCCCATTCCTGGCAGTCCTCTACCCAGGCTGCAAAACAGTGGTGCTGTTCTTCAAAATGCTGCCCAAGGGTTTGGCATAGAAGCCCTCTCCATACCTGGGCCTGTTCCCTTCTGCTGCCATTGTCGCCAAGGCAGAGACTCTTGCCCAAGAGTTACCTGTGAGGCGCAGGACTTGCAGGCTGGCCAGGGGCTGCAGGGCCTCTTGGCTGATGGTGCCCAACTGATTCCTGCTGAGGTCCAGCAGGGCCAGGGAGGAGAGCCCGGCTAGGGCTTGGTCCTCCAACAGCTCAATGCTGTTTTCTTGCAGATGTAGCTCCTGCAGTCGCTGAAGTAGGGACAGGAGATAATCAGGAAAAAGTAATCAGGGAAGCTAGAGTGGGTTGAATTTTCTCCCCCCTATTACAGCTGGCAGGGTGACTTGCACAGGCAGAGAACGACCTGCTTCTAGGCCTTTGGCGCTCACCGGCAGGTGCAAGAAGGTGAAATCCAGCAGCTGAGCCAGCTGGTTGCCTGCCAGGTAGAGCACACGCAGCTGTACTAGGCCTGCGAAGGCGCCTTTGCGCAAGCCATGCAGCCGGTTGCCTGTGAGCGCTAGCTCAAGCAGGCGGGGCTGCGCTTGGAAGGCGCCGGATTCCAGGGCACGAAGGCTGTTGTTGTGCAGGTAGAGATGGCGCAAAGAGGCAAGTGGAGCCAGGGCACCAGGCTCAAGGCGGGCGATGCTGTTGTCCTGCAGGAACAGTGTCTGTGGGCCGGGGGAGGGGGATGCTTATACCACCACAGGGCCAGCTGCTCTCCGGGATCATCCTTACCCACCCGCCCATGCACACATGCCTCCTCCAGTCCCGAGGCTTGGTAGCTACACGCACTGCCCACCTGTGTCCCGGGGGGAATCCCCTGTGGGACAACACGCAGCCGTAGGGCACCACACTCCACTGTTGCACTGTAGCAGCGGCAAGCAGCAGGGCAGCCCTTGGAGTGGGGTGGGAGGAGCAGCAGCAGCAACAGCACAGGAGCCCCGAAGGCCATCTCCTGGGAGAGCAGCCTGGGCCCACAAAGCTGCCAAGGCTTCCTCAGGGTCCAGCTGGAGACCAGATGCACCTCCTGAAACACATGTGGGCAGGCCAGTGCCAATACTCCAGAGCCAGCGCAAGGGTGTGAATGGAGGCTCACAACTTGTCTAACTTTTGAATAGTTTGTCATTTTAAGAAACAGATGAACACAATTTTCTGGTTTCCACCTTTGACAAACCACCCTCATAAAGACCTACGGCATGAGGTTGAAATGAACTCCTGGTGTCCTCTGCTTCTTCACAGAATATGGCCATATGGAGAGACTCACCCAGCTCCAGAACCCTTCCTGGGCAAGTGAGGGCCTCCTGTTCCTGCAGTGACATCTGCACCCTGGTGACTATATTCCTTGGCTGAGTGCAAGCGGCTCCCAGGGCAAGGGCTTGGGGAATGCCAGATGGGACAGTCCAAGGACCAGTTATCCAAGCATGAGCAGAAGCAGGCTCTGGGTAGACATGTCCCCTTATCCTCTCACTGTGGGGACTGGCAGGAACCTAAGGCTCCTTTTGTGCCCCCAGGACAGAGGTTCCTTTTGTGCCCCCAGGACAAGGCCCAGGTCCCTACCTGACCTTGTCCCAGTTAATTCCAGTTCTTTTTGTCCCTTGCACTTGTGCTGTCCCCACCTTGAGGTTCATCTGTCATGACCTGAAAGGAGACAATGGCAAAACTGGTTTTGGAGGAGCCATGAGCCATAGGGAAGTCCAGGACGAGCTTGGCACAGCACCTGCTATACCTTCCTAGGAGTGGAGGTGGGTAGAGTGCTTGGAAAGAGGTGGGGCTTATTCTCAGGTAACTTGTACAAAATTGGAGGATGAGACAATAGGAAAATCAATTCAGGAGCCATGGGCTTTTGCTTTCCAGGCTGCCTTGCAGCAAGCCCTCTTTTTGGTAGGTGGAATCCTGGGAAAGCTAAGGTATAAGGGCTTAGGCTGCCAAATAGGTTTTTATTTTTCAGGTCCTGGGGAATAAATCAGGAATTTTACACTGAGATATATTTTACATTCCCTATCCTTTTTATTTTTTTCTTAATATTGAGTTGGGGTCTCAAGTCACTAAGTTGGTCAGATAGGGCCTGAACTTGTAATCCTTCTGCTTCAGCCTCCCAGAGTGCTGGAATTACAAATGTCCACCACCATACCTGAATTTGTTTGTTTTTTGGGGTTTTTGTTTGTTTGTTTGTTTTGTTTTTTTGGTGCTGGGGATTGGCCCCACAGCCTCATCCAGATGAAACACAAGCTAAGCACATGCTCTACCACTGAGCTGTTTTCTAGTGTGGCATCCTGAGTGGGCTCTGAGAGAAGTGTTACCTTACTACCAAGGAGTACATGGCTAGTAGGGGTTTATGTACATGTACCTAAGGCCCTAGGGATGGGAAAGCTGGAGTCAGGTTCCAGGTGCCATAAGGCCAACTTTAAATTTAATTAAAGGTAGGGGCAGGGCTGAGAAGCCAGGGAAGGACTTGTCTGGAGCCAGGGAAGACAGGACCCAACGGTGTACTGTCTCCTGGCTTCCAGCCTCACCTGGTGTTTCCTCTGAATGTCTGCCTGTTCACCAGGTTTCACTGGTCTCTCTGAGGTATACTGAAAAGTACCAAGTGGCTTTGATGTTTGTTTCAATCTTGCCTAAAACTGTTAACTCACATAATTATTTAAAGTCATTTAGAAATGAGGTTAAGTCCAGCAATAAAGTTTTAATAGAATAGCTTTGGCCCAGACAGAAGCAGTTCCCAGGTGTCTCAGGATGCACGTGAGCTTCAAGAAGCTGGGAGCAGTATCTAGGGCCCTGGGATTCACCTTCGTGAGCACGAAGGAGTGGCCCCTGGCTCCAAGACTTGCTTGTCTGCCAGCCCACCCACCAGCAGCAAAGCAATGGTCCTCTCTGGTTCAGCGCTGCTGCTCACGTGGACCCACTAGGTGCACATCGGTGTAAAACAGACGCCAGGGCAGGAACAGGGGCCTCAGGAGAGACGAGCCCAGAAATCCTTTTACCAGTGGAAAGCCTCCTAATCTAGCTGGGCGGGGGCAGGGCATCAGCCTCTCCAGCGCCTATCTGGGTAGAAGGGATGGAGCGGGCCATGCGCTCTCCCGATCCAGCATCTCGCGACTACACTTGGGATCTGGCGCCCTGATCCCTCCGACCTTCCCGTCTGCACCCTGTGGCGCTGGTGGGCCTCGGGCCCGGCGGTGGAGGGCGTGGCCTTCACGCTCCCTACCTCTCAACGGGTCGCACGTCCTTTGCGCGGTGTGTGCGGGTCGGCCCCCAGATAGCGCCAGATTTTGCCCCCAAGTTGGGCGGCCTTGGTCGGGGGGGGGCGGGGGGGCTCACCAGACGCTCCTGCGACGTGCGGCTCCCCGCCGAGCCCGCCGCAGCCCGGCCGGAGCGGCAGCCGGGAGGGGAGGGGTGGGCGCGCACGCGCACCGGGTCCCCGCCTCCTGCGCCCACCGCCCGGGACTGACGTCGCCTGCGCAAGCCAATCGCGACACCGCTTGGGGTTTGACTGGGAGGCTGCGCGGGGGGGGAGGGTGTGTGGGAGCTCCGAGTCAGAACCCCGCGGCCGAAGTCAACAGCGGGGCCAGGTCCAAGGTAAGGGCCAGGCGGTGGCCCCCCCAGCGCACGTGCGAGGGCAGTGTGGCATCGCCGGGCGCGTACTCGAAGTGGGCGCTGAGCTCGAAGGCTAGGGCTGAGCGCACCAGACCTACGCCGCCCGCGCGCTCTGGGGCCGGGTGGTACAGGCGCCCGTTGGCCGCGAGGGGCAGTAGGCGCGCGGGCTCGAAGGGCACGACCAGGGCCTCGTGCCCGCCGCAATAGGAGAGGCGCGTTGACCCCTTTTCCTCCATCAGCAGGTGCGTGAAGACCACAGGCCGGTCCTCGCAGCGTAGGAAGTTGCGTTCTCGCCCACAGGGAGAGAGGAAGGGGAAGGAGGCCTCGTAGCGCCCGCTGCGGTTGGGTCTCAGGCGGGAGAAGAAGGTGACCAGGAACTGCAGGTCTAGGGGCATAAAAGGTGCAGATGCTCACCACGCGACCCCCAGGGGTCCCGTTCCCCAGGAGGCGCCGCGCCCAGCACCGCGTTAAAGGCCAGTTCTGGTCTCCGTGAGACCGCTGGGCGTCCTGAGGGAGATAGGAAGGAACGCACCCATACCTTTGAAGCAGGTGATGAAGTTCTTCATTTTTGAATCATCCAGGAAGAGCTGCAGACAGAGCGGAAGGCAGTGGACAGTGAGTCCCAACGGGAAGGCCCAGACCTGTGCCAGCAGTCTTTGCTTCTCTGTGAACACTGAATCTAGGGGACTCGCCGGGCGTGGTGGCCCACGCCTGTAATCCCAGCAATCCGGAGGCTGAGGCAGGAGGATTGCTGCGAGTGTGAGGCCAGCCTGGGCTACACAGGAAGTTCAAGGCTAACCTGAGCTATATAGCAAGACTGCCTCAAACAAACAATCGGGGGGAATTCTACCCACGAGCTAGGCAGGGCTTAGTTTTCCCGGGACGGTATCCTTGTCTCTCTCCTTTCAAGTTTTATCAGTTTTTTTTTTCTTCTTCTTGAGTCAGGGACTCTGTGTAGCCCAGCCTTGCCTCGCCTCGAACTCACGGCGATTCTCAGCCTTGGAGTGCTGGGGTTACAAGCATTCGCCACTATGCCCAGCTTAAAGTTTCTAATTAAGATGTAGCACTTCCACCTGGCTAATTCTCCCTGGGGTATGCTGGATGCTCCCGGCAGGTCTCCTAAGACAGGCAGGCTTGCCGAAAGTCCCCCGCAGTCGTGAGACTTAAGACCCAGGGCTCGGGAATGTAGAGGGTTGTGGCAGGACGGATTTAGCGCAACCAGCTTGCGCTTCAGGTTCTTCGTAGAACCTTAGCGGATCCCTGGCTCCACCCGCTCCCGGACTCACCCCCCCCCCCCCCCAACCTGGCCCTGATGATCCAAGTAGTAAAAGTATTCGCGGGTCCGGGGTTCCGGGCTCTGGCCCTGCGTGTAGGAGACATCCCTTTCCCTGCTATATGTCCGGGCTCCCCGAGACTGAGCCAAGGCAAAAGACAAGGAAAAGGCCCCACGCTGCAGCGGCCACATTCTTCCGTGCCGGAAGCGGTCGGCAGGTCACCTGGGGTGCCGTGCTGCTCGAATAAGTGTCCCCCCCCGCGCCACTTTTGTACACTTTGGGTTCCGGCCCCCAGGGGGCAGCCGCGTCCCACCCTGACCTGCGCGAACCCCAAGCAGAAGCAAAGCGAGTGGCAGGCAGTGCGTTGAGTATCCACAAGAACTTTATTCACACGAGGCGCTAGAGCGAGCGCCTGCGCCGAGCCGCCTCGAAAAGTCGGGATCCACTGGAAGGAGGACCCCGCTCCAGAGGACGCGGCGGATTGGGCTTGTTTTTAATAAATAAAAACTCTAAAAATATATATGTAAAAACTGGGGAGAAATGAAGTTTGACAACAGTTGGAGGAACTCAGATTCCGGTTGGACCACAGCCGACGCGGAGCTAGTCGAGGCCGCGGGGTGGCGACCTGAGGTTGGCCCCAAGGCGAATGGCGTTGGATCAGGCTGTCTTTTAGCAAACGTCCTGGCCTCTGTTGCTCTATTTGTATCTCTATGCACAGGTTCCAGATTCATGGGTACCCCAAGAAAAAAAATACTCTCGACCCCGTCCGCCTACCCCGCGCCCGGGAAGGGGAGGGCAGTGTGCTCGGCACCGGGAACAGAAGGCACTTCTTGGGGCGAGGTGGCGCAGCCCCAGCCTGGCTGCTCCTGGTCCGCGGCGGGCCCCCATGCTGCCCCGGCCCGCGCTATAGCACACCCTCCATGAAGCTGGTGTCCAGGTTCTGGATTAGCACACGCAGGAAGGACATCTCCTTGCGCGTGTTCTCAAAGATGACGCGGGGGTCGTCTGACTGGCAGCGTAGGCAGTTGGGCGCCATCACCATGGCGAGGTTGCTGACGTCCATCTTGGTGATGGCCACATTGGCGGGCTGCACAAACACCTGTGCCAGGGGTGATGCGAAGGGTGGATGGAGCGGTGGTGGTGGGGGGAGCAGAAGGCGGGGGGGGGGCGGGCGGAGCATACCTGGAGGAATCGGATGAGGTAGCACAGCACCATGCGGTTGATGCGGGGCAGAGCGTGCACCACTGCCACTGCAGCCTCAGGGCTCTCATAGTGTGCGATGCACTGCTCATAGAACTCGTGCGGAATCAAGGGCTCTTCCAGTTCCCGATACCACAGCTTCAGCAGCGACGCTACGGACGAGTGAGGCTCAGAGGGGCCTGCTCTGGGGACACCAGGGCCGAACGGTCCGCTGGGCCACACCCAGGAGTGTAGGGAGGGGTTGCCTGAAAAGGGTCCCCTGGCCATGCCTCAATCCTGGAGGCACCAGGAATGATGCTCCAGTGACTGCATAATACAGTTTCTTGCAGTGCTGTGCAGCTGCTGTGAGGAACTAGCTAGGAAGGCCCCCCCCACAGCCACAGGCTGGGCTGCTCTGCACTGGCTAAACTGGAGTGCCCCAGAGCAGAAGGTTGCCTGAAGTGGGGGAAGTAGCCAGGGTGGGCCCCAGAGGTAGAGGACAGAGGGACAAGACTGTGGCCCTGGGAGGGGTGAGTGGTCATCTCCCTTCTGGGCTGTGCATGTGGGCCAGCACCTGAGGACCCTCTGAGGCCCCATGGCCTGGACCAGGCCTGCCCTTGCTGAGTGGGTTGGGTGCTCACCAGGGACGTGGGGGTCCTCCAGGCCTGTAGGCACCTTCCACTGATCCACCTGCAGCTTCAGAGCATTCACCTCATCAATGTCCCCAGGTACCCTGGGCAGTACAGAGCAGGTCTCAGTTGGGAGAGTTTGGCCTGCCGAGCTGCCCAGGGTCGGGGGTGATACAGGCCCTCAAGGCCTCTCTGCCCGTTACCTGGGGTATGTGATTCAGGGTCTCACTGCCCTCCTCTGGGTCCCTGCCCCATGCACTTGGATCTGGGGTGTGAGGTCCTCCATCATCCCTTCTTCGACCTTCTGCAGGGCCACTAAGGTCCCAACTTGCAAGCCTCAACTTCCCCAGCTGTACTTTTGGGGGATCTGGATATCCCTGGTTCTGACAGGTGAGTCACAACTGTAACTGATACCATAGGAAAGTGGCAGGCAAGGGGCAATCACATCCCCATTCACAGGCAATGTGAGTTGGGGATGCTGAGCTGTCTGGCTGAATGCTGCATCTGACCAGCTGCACTGGTTCTGGCCATCTCCCAAGCATTCTCAGGACCCTGGTGGCCATTTCTGCAGAGATACCATGCCTGGCTGGCTCTGCTGCTGTTATGGAGAGATGGGGGACCCAGCAGACCTGTCTCTCAAGGAGAGATAGGGTCCTGTCCTGCTTGTCTTGGCTTCCTGGACCTCAAGATCTGCCTCCATGAGATAGCCCACTCTTCCATTTATTCTGAAGCAGGATCAGTGGGCCTGACTCAATGGTTCCTGGCTGCTAGATATGCATGGTGGACACATGCCTGTGGCTCCCACACCCAGGGCCCGGGATTGGCATGGCACCTGAAGATGCCCTCCGTCTGGTCACCATTGAGTGCCAGCACCTCCTCGGAGAGCCGCGTTTGTACCCAAGGCAGCTGCCTGTCAGGGTAGCGCTCCTTCTGCATGCTCATGATTTCTTGCAGTGAGCTGCCAAACATGGATGGGCTGAACACAGCATTCTTGGCATGCCGTATCTCCTCCACGTTGGGCTTCTTCAGCCCCTGTGAAGACAACCACTCTCCTGTTCTCAGCCTCCCTGCTTCCATCCTCCTTCCCCTCAATCCTCCAGAGATGCCCAGCTCAGCAGTCTCTCCTTACTAATGCCCAGCTGGAGTCACCAAGGTGGCCTCCTTCCAGGCCATCTACAGCACCTAAAGCTTCAAGTGACCCTACAGGGTATGTAGGGAGATGGGTGCCACTCTTGGACGGGTCAGTCTGGGCTGACAGGGACACAGGGACCTGAGATGCTTCTGGAAGTCTGACTGTAGGGCTGAGCCCTGTGGTGGGGCAACATAGCAGAAGGGAGAGAAAGTGAGGAAGGTAGGCCAGGCCTTGGGACAGGTACAAGGGGCCCAAGGGAATTCCTGGATGGAGGTGGGCTGTAAGGGAAAAGGAAAGGGGGTCAAAACCAGGGAATGAGATCTAGAGCAGAGGCCATGGCTGGAAGGGGATTGATGGAGAAGGCGAGGGTGGATGAGGGGACGGCATCCCAGGCTTGGGATTCCAGGGACTTCAGTGGCTGGTGCTGTTTGGGGGCCTGCCTGTAGCCTGAGACTGCCAGGGAAGAGGGTCCCTCCAGTGGGCGGTCTCTTGGCCGTTGTAGCTGTGTCTGGCCCCTGCATCTGGCCATACCAGCTGAGTTCTCAGGTCAGTGTAGCCAGTGTCCTACTCCTTAGCTCTGCACACCATGCATGGGGGCAGGCCAGGCATAGCCAGGAGGCTGGCCACGTACCCCAGGTAGGCTATCTGACACCTTGGCCTACCCCACAACCCCTCTATCTATATTGCGCCTGAACTGGGTGTCCCAGTGCAGAAGAACATAGAATCTCAGAGGCCTTCCTGGCCAGCCACCTAACTGGGCTCTGGGTCCCTCATGCTCTGCCAGCTAGCACTCGCAAGCCTTGCTGCCACCTCACCCTGGTGCTCCCAGAAGTGCCTGTACCTTCTTGGCCCCTGTCAGGGCCGCCTTCTGCAGCTTGTGGTAACAGTACTTGGCATAGGTGCTTATCGCCACCCCTGGAAAAGAATGGGTATTGGTCAGCCTGATGCAGACGAGTGGGGGCAGGGACTAAAGTTGGGAGGAAGGGGCAAAGAAGGGTAGCTCCTTCAAGGAGGGGCCCTAGAGTATGACTAACTGGCTAGATTCACATCTACCCTTGACCAGGGCAGTGGTCTTCACTCTTTCAGCCAATGTCCTTTAAAGCAGAGACCCACATGAGAGAAAAAGGGGTATTTCTCCACCTCCATGGGCCAGGCTGGGAGAGGAAACCCTTCTGCCAGCCCACCTCCCCCTCCACAGGAGGGGACAAGGATGCTTCCCTCTATAAAGAATCACTGGCAAGACAGGGCATGATCTGGGTCCCAAAGCCTCCAAACCTCACTCCATACTCCCCCAGCTGGCCCTAAGGAGCTCCACATGGGGATGGGGGTGGGGGTCAGGGAGACAGAGGTCCCAAGGTATATCCCGCAGCTGAAGGGAAGGGGAGAGTGCAGAGCAGATGCCAGCATCCTGAGGCAGTACCCTCTCCCCTGAAGGAGGGCAAGGCAGCAGCAGGACCACGTTGAGGCTCCTTTCTCCAGGGAGGGGCTTTGTAAAATTCAGCCCCCAGAGCTGAGGTTCCAAAGGTGGACCTGCAGGGTGGGGTGGGTGTTAGGAAGGGCATGGTGCTGGGGACCTGGACCTTTGGAGTGCCCTCCTGGAGCAGGCAGGAAAGAAGAGGGAGGCAGACAAGAGCACACATCAAGAAAAGCTGTCAGGGACAGACAGGTGACCTGGACTAAGTGCTTCTGGTCATGGCCTCCCCCTCTGGAAGGCATTGACTGCTAACCCCAATGCCTGCCTACTGGCAGGGTAAGGGAGGCCTCTAGATCCCAGCTCTCAGATGGGAATCTTTTTGTTTTCTTTAAAGGAAGCAGTTTCTTGCGAATGTCTGAGGACACGAGAGAGCTTGGACTCCAGTTCAAAAAACAAATGTCTTACTCCATGAAAATTTTTTTAGTTATAAAATGGTTGTCATTGTATCTGTTAAGGAGATTCTTTAATTAAAAAAACCAACAAAAACCAAACTTTTCATAAATGTTAAAGTCCTGGACACAGCTGCAAGTCCCTGGAGACCCACAGACCTGGCAGAAGGTCTTTATTCCAAACTCAGCCTGCTCCAGATGGTGCCAGAACTTTCCACCATAGGACACTCTGCCCTGCTGGACAGGTCTAAGGCTCTCTTGTTTTGGAAAATGTATGGTGCATATAGAGGAACCTGGGTCACAGCCTGCCATTCAGAGCACAGAGGGGGCAAGCTTTGAAGTGCTTCTTCATGGCTCTTCAGTGGCTGGAACACAGTCACTCCAGGAAGGAGCTGAGCTGCTGCTTCCTGTCCCTGGAGAAGACACGCCCTCACTGGGCACACATGGCCACCCCTGGGGGCCAACGCTCAGGCCTTCAGCCTATACCTACAGGAGTAAGACAGTATCCTGGGGCTACAGTCTCTTGGGTGGTGGTGGGGCACAAGAAACCTTTGTGCCTGTTTCTTCCTT